TCAATTTTCGTTAACTTTTGTGATTTGGGCGTTTTTGGGCGCTGCGAATATGCTCTACACGCCCAGACGATCGAAACCCGGAAACCAGCGGGTTTCTGAGATCACTGATTGTCTGATTTCGGATCTCTGAGTTCCAGTGAAATGCACAGTGGGAACCGACTGTCAAGTAATTCAGCGGAGCCGTGGATTTCGACTTGCGGTTGCCAGCAATCAGTTTCGAGGTCACAGTGAGATGGCCACGTGCACTGATTGCACATCAGAACGAGTTCAACGACGCGTGCGGCCAATCTCAGTCTATACTCTGACGCTGCGTGCAACACTACAGACCATCCAACATGACCTCGGACCTGTAAAGCTACATCAGGGGAAAAAAAATGTCTGGCAATGGCTGACAAGAGGTGGCATAGCTGGTGCATCTGGCATAAGTATATGGCGAGGCCCCGGGAAGCTCCACCAAAGCCTTGTCCGGGCAAAACCCAAGATTTTGGCCTCAAAAACCCCACGTTTTGGCGAGTTTTGGACCTCAAAAACCCCAAGTCGGACAAGGGTCATCACGTGAGTCACGCGTCACCTGTGTGACTCGCCTAGAAATGTCACAAAATAATGTTTGCCAATCAAAACCTGGCCACTCTGGGCCCGGAATTTGGGAAGAATTCTTGGGAAAATTCCCTCAAAAACCCTAACTCTGGACAAGGCTTGGTCATTTTTGGCCTCACAAACCTCAACTTCGGACAAGGAAATGACCATTTTTCGGCCTCAAAAACCCCAAAATCCGGACAAGGCTTTGGTGGAGCTTCCCGGGGCCTATATGGCGGCCACACGGCTTTGAGAAATCTTAACGAAGTCGTTCAAACTCCGCTGATGCCAAACAACAGCCAAGCAAATCGTACCACTTTTCTTCTGTTTTCCTCCACCACGTCCTTCTCGTGCCGTTACGCCCATACCTCGAGCCTCAGTTTCATATTGGCCCCAACCTTACTTGTATTGGCTTCTCAATGGCTCCTTGGACGCTATCCTTTGTGTTTGGCCTGCCACGTCACCATCCGCACACCCGTACGGAGGTGAACCGCGCATGGGCGCGCGGCTCTGGAGAAGGCCAGGGTGAACAGGACAGTCATGAGCCTGCGGGTGGAGTCGCGACGAGCACAGGGGATCTCGGGATCTCGGATCTAAGGTGATATTGCTGCTACTATTACTGCAGCTACTATTGCCTTAGAGTAGTCATTGTGGGTCTTGTAGCCATCTCATCCTGTACCTGTTTTGCATCCCTCTGAAATGATGATTGCTATAATGGCCTGCATGTGCGTACGCATTCTGACCGAAAATTGCTATATTTTATAATAGGGCAAATATATAAATAGCATGCAGGAGAGAACAGATGCCGGTCACTGGATACCAGGAGTGGGATTACTGGAAGCGCTGATTTACTTGACCGTCGGTAACCAGGTGTTCGCGCCGAGAAACCGGTGGTCCATCAAATCACTGGCTTTCGGCTTTCGATCGTCTGGGCGTGTAATATGGACTGGAAGGTGAATCAATTGTTGGAAAATTGATCCGAGCATCGGAGCTCGGCAACCTGGGTCGGGATGTGTCAGCACAGTCGGGATGACTGATGGGGGATTAGTAAGAGTACATACGTTGTCCTGCCCGAATTTCTACATCAATGGTAGACAGTCCGAACTGCATGACATGTGAGGCGTAATTCTGAAAGTTCGAGTTCCCAGATACATTCATTGATCGATTGCACTTGGCGACAGGTCTTAGAGTGAACGTCCGCCTCCGACTCGGATGCGGCAAACATGCGCAACTTATATCTTTGGAAGACGACTCGAGAGCCAGCGAGGCGCTGCGACGACGGTGGCACGGATACTATAAGTAAAGCTCCGCGAAAAAATTCAAAGACGCGGGATGTCCCAGGTGAGCACGTGAGAGAAAGCCGCGATCACGTTTACATTTTCCTTTTCTTTCTTTAACCACTGACCAGTACCACCATGTCCACTTCAAGTTCCACTGTTTCCTCTCCAGCTCAAGATGCCCGAACGGCAACACCGACCGACGCGCAAATCCGCTTCCAGTTCTACGCCATCCGCAGCCAACACCTTAAAGTGCCGCTCGGTTTTCAAAAAATGCTCGACGCGATCAAAGCTGCCGAGCCGACGTGGATTCTCGGTCCAGTCAGACTAAAGAAACTCCTGAAGGTGATCGCAGACGAAGAGGCAAAGGAAGAGGCTGAGAACAATGCGAGCGGGCCATATATCAACCTGACATCCAGCCACTCCCAAGCGTTGCGAGACCAGATGGCGTGGCAGGACCGGTCCACTAGGCGCGTACGCGAGCGATGACTTTGTATCAGTCGCTGAATTTTGTGGCGCAGACACTACCGCATCATTGGGCATGACGGCTATGACTATGCAGTTACGCCCAATACCGATATGGCCATTTTCCTCAACGTGCGATGCATCATGCTTGCGCGCATTGACGCTGACTTGTACCCAGATAATGCAAAAACGTGCCGTCGAAGAGCCCAGTCAAAGAGTCCACGCATTATACAATATGTGGCTACACCTCGAGCCCGCCGCAAAAAAAGCGGGCGTTCCGCTCGAGAATTTGCGCGTGCAGTTGACCGAGGAGTAAGGTTATTTACTCGAGGGGCACAGACGATGCTCATTGGTACCAGATACGGCATGGATCCGCTCACCGTCGCGCCGCCCCCGCCGCGGAACGACGCCGAGCGTGCGGCGCTGAACACCCAGCTCGAGAAGGAGAAAGCGAAGCACAAGAAGAAGAAGATGGGGATGATGCGCCAGATGCGCGACATGGGCGCTCCCATACCCCTCGACCCGGTGACGGGTGATGTTGCGTGGGACGACGGGAAGCACGGCGAATTCGTCGTGTTGGTCACGCGTGTGGACAAGGCAACAGGCTTGGAGGAGCTCGAGACTTGGTAGTAGTAGCCTTTTTTCTAGATTTCAGACACGGCAACTAGACTTTTTTTTTCTGACTGTTCAGAGGTGTGAAATCAAGTCATATGGAACAAACTCGCTTTGATTGAATTGTACGATTTGTACCTTGTACAGTAGGTTCGCAGCCCATACGAAACGAAAACCATTAAGAGACACCATTCCCGTGAGCGAAAATATAATGATGGTCAAAAAGCTGAAGGCCGGCGTGCATTAGGCGTGATTCAGCCTCTACGTGCTTTTCTGAAGATATAGTCGTTCTGAGGCAGTATGCTGTAGAGTCGTGCATTCACTTGAAATATTGAAGAGTTGATGGAAGTTGAACGTCGAACCGAGTCGATGGAAGTTGAAGAGTCTTCGAATTCCGGGCTACCTAAGTTAAAGGGTTCTCTGCATTCTTTTTTATAACCGATCCATCCATTCTCTGAAACACAGTACTTGATGCCTCGTATGTAAGAAGGCGGCGACTTGGGCTCAAGCGCTCAGGCTGTGAGGCACGAACCGTGCTGTAAGCCCCTGTTAGGCCTCGCTAAAGAGGAAGCGGAAGTTGAGGATCTCGGCACGGTGATGGTGCGATCTTTGCATCTTGCCACCTCAGAGTCACAGCGAGCGCGGTGATTAACCGCGCTCAGTTTTTTGTCGAATTTTTGAGACGCTACTAGCTTGACCTTTCTCTACCTCTGTTTACATGCTGGAACCTCGGACCTGGAGTTTTCGACGATGACCTGGCGCCGACATATTGTTACGCTCCGTCTCAATCCGGGATTCAGCTTCAGACGTCATCTGTGCAGAATACAAATGGTCTTTGCTTGTGGGATACGGTGCATAGGAGCTTTGTGAGGGAACTTGAATAGTGAGTGCAGTACCGTGATACGGTCTCTTCCGGATGAGGGTTTCCACGCGCGATGCCGATGCTGGGCGCTAAGTCAGATGCTCAGCGACGCCAATGAACCCGTTGTAAGCTCGAATAAGCGCGGGCTGAAGTTTTACTTCCGGGCGACGTCGGATGACGGGCGACGCCGATGCTGGGCGATGGATTGAATGCTCACTGACGCCAGTGAACCTGTTAAGCTCGAATGAGCGCGGGGTGAGGTTTTATTCCCGGGCGCCGCCGATGCTGGATGCTGGGTCGAGTACTCAGCGGTGCCAATGAAAGCGTTAAGCTCGAATGAGCGCGGGCTGAGGTTTTATTTCCGGGCGACGTCGTATGACGGGCGGCGCCGATGCTAGGCGCTGGGTCGAGAACTTCGCAGCACCGATGAACCCGTTAAGCTCGAATGAGCACGGGCTGAGGTTTTACTTCCCGGGCGACGTCGGATGACGGGCGACGCCGATGATCGGCAGCGTAATGACCCGTTGGAAGCTTGAACAAGCACGGGTAGATATTTTATTTAAGGGCGCCATCTTACAATGGGTGATACTGACGCTAAGATGATACTACAGAGGCCTTGAATACCCGCGCGAACCCTGTTGAGAACCTGGAAAGCTGTGGGCAGATATTTCTTTACAGTTCAAGAATACTCGCAATTGCGCAATCGGATCATGACGACCATCTTCAGTGGTTTTAATCTCCAGGTGTGCCATCCTCTTTGAAGTGCATCTAATTAATATTCTAGGGTAACAAGAGTCATCCTCAACGTCCACATCGAGTATGATGGATCTGGGGACATGAAGACGTGGACGGGGAGTTCAACTTGAACAATCCGGCCTTGAGCAAGTTAAACTGGTCAGCTTCAGGCGTAGCTGCAGCTGTTTGATGGGTGAGTCTAATTTGCTTGACGGCCGGCCTATCACAGGTATTCTCTGCTGAGTCTGCTCTAAAACCTTGGGGTTTGTGCCGTGGCGGAGGTTCAACCTTGACAGCGAGCCCAAGCTTTTACTCCCACCCACGTCTCAGATCACGAGCATTTGATTTGGATGAGTGTGCTCGATATACACGTTCCTACTTTTGCTGATCATTAGCGAAGGCTTCAACTAATTTTTTTTTATCTGACTGCCTTCATACTCTTCTGATATATACTTTCTTTACAAAGTAAACAAGGCAATATGGCCGAGTGGTCTAAGGCGCTAGAATCAGGTGACTACCTAATCTAGTCCTCCGGGGCGAGGGTTCGAATCCCTCTGTTGTCATCTTTTACTTATTCGTAATACTCTTACCATGTGGGCAAGGGTTCGAGTCTCTGCTGTCACTATTTTTTCCTAACGTTTTGTGGTAATGCTATTTACATTCCAATTCATGGATCTGTTGGCCTGGAGTCTCACAGGTCTGACTCCCTCTTGTGGTGCATGTGAAACTCGGATATGGTATGTATCCTGGTCAATTGTTTCCAAGTCCACCTTCTGTTGTCAATTGATGGTGAAATCTGGTGAAAGTGGAGCCAAGTCTAGGTGTTATATACTGAGCCGAAGGAAGGACAAGATGAAGGACTCCGGAACGGAACCGGGAACCGGAGTATCAGAACTTCGGAAAGTATATGGGGAGATAATGCAAGCACCACAGGACAGCAGGATGTGCGTACTACCGAGGCCGGTGAAGGAAGGAAGACCGGGGAATTAACCGGAGGACGACTCAGTGCAAAGCAGAGAGCAAAGCAACATTAATTATCAAACTGAAGTACATGGCATATGTTAAGGGTTTATATAGCTAAGTCCTAATTGTATTCCTAAAAAGGTGCGAGTCAGGTGACCTGTCAGACATAACAATAATACGAGTCCCAAAGAGGATGGAGAAGTGATGTCGGAGAAATTGACAATAAGAAGATGGATTATAAAGACGGATAAACGGGAAACACTCAGTAATCCTTCATTGCGTAAAAACCCGATGATCTGCAATGAGTCCGAGGATATTCCGTCCGGTTCCGGGCTCTGGTACCGGACATGACCGGAAGGTCAAGGACTGAGAAAGCATGGATATAACACTAGGGGGGAAAGCAGCAATGATTTTGGCATTCCAGTAGAAATACAGAAAGCTGGTACAACAGTGATACTCACCATATATGATGAGACGTAGGAGAATATAAGATACAAGAGAGATGTGATGAAGCACTGGATCCAACAAGACTGATACATAAAGCAGGTGCCTGAGATATAAGATACAGGGAGATCTATATGACCGAGGATCTGAGAAAGAGGAGTAAGAGATGATGAGATGGGATAATATACAAGTGCCAATGGCAAGCAAGTGTGATACACTACACTGCAAAGACAGAACAAAGTGAGCATTGCTTCAGATGCCGAAAAGAAGGCACATATACAAAGAAGATCCACATCTAACATCCAGAGGTGGCCAAGTCCCATGTCCCATTTACCATCATCTGCTTTGAGGGTCAAACACTGCACTGCCATCTCCAGCCAGACTAGCATACTGGCCAACCAACCAAGCTTCCACATGCCCAGGACAGAGAAGCACATCTGCTTCTCTATCCTTGGCAAATGTGGAGGAGAGGTGGGAGTGTCAGGGGCACATTACTCCCCAGCGCTCCTACCTCCCCTCAGGCCGACGGTCGATCACCAAGTTGGCTACTCTGCTTGCTGATCAGAGACAGCAACTTGGTGACTTCCCTCAAGTTTGGAATCCAGATATATTGGAGTGAGTGAGCCAGGCTCAGGACCTCTGTAGCATGGGCACTGTGTTTCTCTTGCTGGACAGCCTACCGCACAGCCTGAGCACCCACCTGCACACATGCAAGACAGATGAGGTGGGCATGCAACTGGGCTTGTGCGTGGAATTGGATCATATACAAAGGAGGCTGTGTGTCTGTAAGACAGCTGTATGGGTGTTGTTGCTGGATAACAGGCTTGTAGAAAGCAGGTGTGGTGGTTGAGCATCTGTGGAAGATGATGTTGGATAAGCCTCGCTGAGTGGAGAGGGTCAAGTAGATGTGGGATCCCTGGCTGCTTGGAGCAGGCCCCATTTGATAAAGACCCAAGGGCTGGTCAGTAAGGTGGAGCCTGCTCCCAGATGGTAGGGTGTCGCAGCGAGTTTATAATTGATGGCAGTTTGGAAGATTGAAGTTCCCCAAAGGTAGAGATGCCAGCAGACGAGAGGCAGTGTCAGGCTAAGGCATGTCACGAGTTAACCCACGAGTGACCCGGATCCGTGACCACGAGTACTTGCGTCGTCCAAGGCCATACTCGGATCCGTGGGAAACCTGCCTTCACGAGTACTTGACCCGCGGGTCACGGGTTTCTCACGGATCAACTCACGAGTATTGCTCTCATTGTGCCATTTTTTAGCTCAAAGTATATGATTAAAAGTACTTTGAAACTCACGAGTATACCTCGTTCTCAAAAAAATTACTACTCGGATCCGTGATGACCTGTGGCGACGGGTACCCGAACCTGTGGGTCAAGTTTCCCAGAGTATTTTCACGGGTCAACCCGCGATGACTCGCAGGTGACCCGCACTTGTGACATGCCTTATGACAGGTTTTACTGCTGTTACAGGCATCAGGCTCAGGTTGTGTTTATCCAGTACACCAATTTGCACAGACCCAGTTGTGGCAGGCTTGTCTTGAAATTTAATTGCAACCACAGCGGTGATGACTGCAGCCGATGGTAGAGTGGCAGCTGATTTCTAGTACAATATTAGGCCAAAAACTGAGGAAAGACAGCTTGGGATACTGACCTCTTTGCATGCAAGAGCTTCAAGACTCGCAAGAAATCCGGCACCTGTTACATGCATGCAAAATGTGTGTACTCATGTATATATAGTCCGGGAAGCCTATGACAGATAACCTGTCATAGTGGCCTTTTGGCTCAGTTGGTAACAATGCTAGCTCCCAGGCACTTACATAACAGTATGACAGGTTTAAACCGGTCGTGAGTTCAAACCCTGGTGGTGGCATATTTTTCAGGCCTGGAGCACTTGATTTAATTTGTCATCATTTGATTAATTTGTACGTCTGGCAGGTTGATCATGTGACCTGGGGGTCTATTATGTATCATTTGGTCTTTGGAAGTGCACCCGGGGTTCCGTCCCCGGTCCGGCCCATTTCGGGTTTCCGTTCCATTCCGGAACATCTCGGATCCATTCTAGGATCATTCCGCACTTTGAGGGCTCAGTGCCTAATTGGGGGGCACTGTTACATGCATGCGAAATGTGTGTGCTCATGTATATATAGTCTGGGAAGCCTATGACAGATAACCTGTCATAGTGGCCTTTTGGCTCAGTTGGTAACAATGCTAGCTCCCGGGCACGTTACATAACAGCACCATCAAACATGAAGTTGACTTGTAAACAAGGATGTGAGTAGAGAGAGGAGAGAATGGAGATGTCACCACCCAGGCTTGAAAGGGATTGCAGCAAGGAGCAAGGAGGTCCAACAACGATGGACATGTTGGTAACAGGAAGGGCGACAGTATTGATGACAGTAGGTGGGTCGAATGCGGTGAGGAATCACATCGCAACAGCGGTGGGAGTGAGGACTCTGTTGAGTGCATCAGAAGCATCGCCAGCGGTTGCACTGGGAATGAGAGCCGCCATATCCTTGACCATAATATGAGTGCCAAACAGAACATTGTAGGCAAAATCGCCGAAGACGAAGGTGAGTATGAGAGGAAGGTGGTGAAGGGGAGCACCATACACAAACACATGGCAAGAAGGGTGTGGTGTCAGGCGTACTGTACCGGCGTGTGCATAGGCAACCGTCTGAGGTGCGTTACGCACAGCCACAGGTCTGAAGTTAGCAACCGATTACCATATAAGGCAATTTAGCACCCACAAGGCCGAAAAATCACTAAAAATAACCTGAAATGGGCCCAAAATCGCTTTTTGGAGCGTTACTCGACCGATTTAGGCGACGATTTTGGGTGCCGCGTTACGTGTTACGTTGCCTACGCACACGCCGGTACAGTATATGGGGTTTTGATACATCACAAGTCGATAATGTCCACAGTGCAGTGATACATCAACGCCGGCCATTAGAAGTGTGCAATGATACATCACATCAGCGAAACATCCATTTTCGGTAATTGATGGTGGAAAAAAGAATGCACTTCACAAGGATTGAACGCAGACAACACAGATTAGATAACAGATGTTTCACTAACCACCTGAACTACACAAACTGTTAGGAATCACTATCTTGATGACATCACATCACACCACTTCCCAGCAACATTTCAATATACCGCCCTGACCCTAACTGCTAACCCTAACCGCTAACCGCTAACCTGAACCCTGACTCTAACCTGAACCCTAACCACCCGAACCTAACCACGAAAGACACCGTGGAGACCCGGGCTAGGGCAAGCTTGCCCTAGCCCTTGTAAGGTGTTTGTTTAGGCTAATTATGTACCTGAAAAGACATGACCTATCCCAATATTCTGATCTGATTATTGTGCCCTCTTTAGCTCAGTTGGTTGAGGTATCTCTTTGCAGTGGATCACCTTTGCAGGCAGTTTTGGGTTTGATCCCCACTTATGTTTCTTTTATTTTGCATTCCTTCCGAATTCGGATGCTTCGCTGATGTGATGTATCATATCACTTCTCTAACTAGTGGTGTTGATGTATCACTGCACTGTGGAGCTTAGCAGTTGCTGATGTATCACCCCCCCCAGACTATGGTGTGATTCCAGCTTATATACTTCCTATTTATTTGGCCACAACAACATGTCTGCACGTCAACAACGGTGCACAGACCATCCTGACTGAGACAGCAACAACATGCAAGAAAACATTTTAAAGTGGGCCAGGAGGAGGACAAGGAGTGTTGAGGAGCCACTGGCTGATCTGGTATGCATGTACCTACATACGTACCATGACTGATCCGCAATTGAGAATGCTCAAGAACACCAGCAGAACGTCCTTTGTCTAAGACAGGAATAACAACGACCTCCAGCAGCGTCCAAGATATGGAGGTCCGAGATTGATATATTTACAGCATGTCACTGGCTCCAAGGCAGCCGATCTTGAGCTCCATAACCCTAGGCCTTACCTCCTGGTCAGCAATAGGTCAACAGTCCCAAATTTCCTGCAATTGATATGCAAGCTTGATGTCGGAAGATCCACGAAGGGCTCCCAGGATAGAGTGCCATGTCCATAGATGATTGAGGAAAAACAAGGCAGGTCCCATCGAGCCTAAGCCTAAGTTCTAGGGATGGACACAGGTACGGGTTCGGGTATAAAA